CTGGGTTCTCTCCCTGGCTCTGGGAGGGGAGTGGGGGCTAGTGGTTAGAGCAGAGAGCCCAAGCTCCAGGGTCTCTCCCCACGTCTAGCAGTAGCAGGCAGCAGCTTGCTCAGCCCTGGCTGGGGGAAGCTCACAGCCCCGGCTCAGGTCTCTCTCCCCGCAGGCCTGAAGGAGAGCCCCATCATGAGCCTGGCCGAGAGCGAGCTGGTGGCCTCCATCGTGGACGAGGTGCGACGGCAGCTTGGGGTGACCTTCGTCGAGGACCGGCAGGGCTGAGCGGGCGGCTGCCAGGGGACCAGAGACTGCAATAAACAGGACCCTGCCCAGCTGCCGTGTGATTCCTTGCGGGACAGAGCTGGGGGGTGGGCGGGTGCAGGACGCCTGGGTTCTTCCCCAGAGAACACACCCTTAGAGCGCTCGCCCCAGCACCATCCAAGCAGCCCCCCCACCAATTGGGGGGAGCCCCCAGCTGAGATCAGGGCACCCTATTTTGGGCAAACACCCCCGGCCCACTGCCTTCAGAGCAAGGTACAGCCCCCTGCCCCTTGTGGGTGGAGCTACTCCCAGAGGAAGGGGGGGGGGAGACACCCTCTAATTTCAGGCTGTTGCCATACATGCACCCCACCAGCAGGGGGTGATGCTCCCCCCCAACACAGCCTCCTTCTTAAGCCAATTCTTAGAAGCCTGCGGCTGAGTCTTGGGGGCATAAGGGTCCCTCAGGGACTCCCCCTCTCGGTATCCGGGGCCCCACCTAAACCCCAACGCCCCCAGGCTGGGGGCAGAGCAGGGCAGAGGCACTACCGCAAGGGAGGGTGGGGGGGAAGAAACCTGCCTCTAACCCCCAGCCTAGCTCTGGGGTCACAGAATCCAGGCCGGCCTCAGGGGCTGGGGGACGCAACGATTGAAAGGGGGCGGCATGGTGGAGAATTGGCCGCTCCCGAGCCTTCCCCCCGGCCGAAAGGCTAACAGACTTGGCGAGTCGGAGCAGAGGGGTCGTGGGAGCTCTGGGCCTGGCCCGGGGGCGACACTGCGGGATCTCTCCCCCCCCAGTCAGCGTTTGCCGCTCAAGGGGGTGGATAAATCGCAGAGGGGCCGGGGAAGAGCCCCAAGGACGATTCGAGGATCGGAAAAGCTGCCCACGTGCGAGGCGCACCAGCTGTGTAGCTGAGCCCAGAGATGGGGGGGGGGGACGGACCACGACTTGATCCCCGGCTCTTGGCAGTTTGATAACAGGGTTCCCGCAGTGCTTCCCCCCCATAGACTAGGCCTGAGATTTCCACAGGGGGCCGGCCCTGCATTTGAAATCTTTTAGGGATCCACCCATGAAAAAAGGGCCAAAACCCCTGGCTACCAGGTCCACCAAGCAAGGCGAGAGAAATTCCCAGTGGAAGCAAAGGGGGAGGGGAGGAGGAAAAGAATTAACCCTTGGAGCTGCTCCCCCAGGGATTCTCCATCCCAGGCCCGAAGCCAGGGCAGCCCCAGGAGGTCAGACGAGGGGCCGAGACTCCCCTTCCCCCCTGAGGATTTACGAAGAGAAGCGGCCCAGAGCCACTGGATTAGCAGCCGCATCCTTAGCACGCTGCTGGCGAGAGGGGGGGGAACCACAGGCCCCCGAGGGTTCGGCTGGGGTTTGGGGGTGCCGGGGAGCCCCGCAGAGAGCTCAACGCGTTTCTCCTCAGGGGAAGCGGCAGGCACAGTGGAGTGAAGGCCCCACAGGGGAGAGGGCCTTGAAGACACCCGCGAAGCGTTCTAAAACCCCCAGTGACCCAGGCTGCTGCGGGATGGGGTGGGCAACGGGAATTTGGGCAGCCCTTGGCAAAATGCCCCCGAGACGCGGCCCCCACGCAAAACAGAGCAACTGACAGGAAAGCGGAGAGAGGAGCCGGGTAACGATAGAAGGGGAGAAAACACCGGCACTGAAAGGGCCAGCAATTGGAAGCCAGAGCCAGGCCGGATTTCTAACAGTGCCAGGGAGCCACTGTCGGCTCCAACGCCCGCGCGGCGGATTTTCCGGCTCTCGTCCCGGCCCAGGGCCGTTCTGGGAGGGGCGCGAAGCCGCGGGTCAGTTCTCTGCCGTGTGCTACATGGGACAGGAGCTGAGGGGATTTCATGGGCCCGACCGGCCTGGCCAAGCCCCGGAGCGTCCCGGAGGCCCAGGCCAGGCAGCCAGAGCTAGGCCCTGTGAGAGACGCACAGAGGGGCTGGGTGGAAGTGAAGGGGCTGGTTTTATTGAGGTTCAAGGCTCAGACCAAGATCCCGTACTGCTTCAGCACGTCGGTGTACCTGGAGATCTTGCCTTCCACGTTCTTCTCCGCCTGCTTCTGTAGTTTCTGGAAGAGACGCCCCAGGAGGAGGAATCAGACCAAGATTCGGGAGAGCCCCCAGGAAATGAGCCCATCGCCCTGCGGGGGGGGATACGGGGACCCCCTTCCCCCAGTGCTTAGATGCAGCTCCTCTCAAAGGGGGACTGTGAGGCCCGATGACCCCCAGGGACACTCACCATCAGCTTCTTCTTCTTGTTATAATGCAGCTTGGCCTTCTCCTTGCGTTTCTCCTCCAGGGTCGAGGTGATGGCTTGGTACTTCCAGCCAACCTCATGGGCCAGGCGCCCCAGGAAGGCGAACTGCAGGGGGCAGGGAAGAGACGGGTCAGGAGAGAAAACAGGAGTCCTGACTCCCAGCCCCCTTCCTGCAGGATCCCAACTAAGCCAGGTCGTGCAGTGCCCCCAGGCGGTCTCAGATGGTAGTGCATGTAGGATGTTGTCTCATGGTCGTGAGACTCGAAGAGAAGTGAGTTAGCATCATCACCGACCGCCCGAGATGCCAGCTCCCAGCACAGGGTAGGGCACAGGCGCTGGCTAGGCATGGCCAGGGCATCACTAGACAGATGACACCTGCATGAACAAGGTTGTTCCCTGACTGGCCGCTAGCTGCCACATGATATCAAAGACCAAGGAATCATGTGGTAAGTAGTCCCATAGGTTAACACCACACCCATTACCTCTGATGAATGGTTGGTCTCCAATATGTGGCCGCCAGTTCCCCAAGTTAATACCACTGGCAAATGAATTTATTGCCTCGGCATCTGCCCTGGTATAATGTGGCAAGTAGTCCCATGGGTTAATGACTCCTCCTGAGTTTTGCCTTTGACAAGTCCTTTGTTCTGACGGGCTGTGGAACTACCTGCCTCATGACGGTGCTGCCTTCGATCAGGTTTCAACCTCCCGCCCCTACTCCCGTGTGGAAAGGGGGCTCTGGGAGGGACGTACCTTGCGCGTTGGCTTCAGGCGTACGACTTTCAGAGCAGCGGGCACCACCATCCGTTTCCTCTGCGTGGGGGGAGAGGAGAGGGTTACGGGTACGAAGGAGACGGGATGGAGGGCAGAGGAGCGGGTCTGGGGTGTCTCAGGGTCAAAATTTTTCTCATCCAGCATCAAACAATGTAGGTAGATGGAACATCATGGACACGGGGCCCCAGCATCCCCCCCCCGCGGCCCCCC